GGGCTCCTCAGACAGAACAGAGAATAGGAAGTGCAGGTAATGTTCACATACCTCAATCAGTTTAGGAGCTGACCTAATCATGTCATGTGTGGAAATCTGTGCTCAGTCCAGCTTCTACAGGAAAAAACGTCATAAAGTATAATCAGAGACCTGAAGAACAGGAAGAAACCTTACAGAAGAACCATTGAGTTAAGCCTCTCAACTATGGGTGAGTGAATCTGTGGGCAGAGTGAACACTGAGGACAGACTTGGCATAAGCTCTTTGGGGTCGGGTAGTGAGTGGCATGTCCTTGCTTCTGCATTCTGGCTCCAAATCTACTGTCTGTGCTGAGTCTCTCAGTTGGGCAGAGATCTGCATCAGCTCAATGAGCAAATCTAGATCATGAAAGACACAGCTCATTACATCTAGTTTGAACTTGTTTTTCAATTTCCTGATGATTTTTATACAACCCTAGAGGGCAAACAGAAAAAAAAGATAAAGAACATTTATCAGTAAATTGGCCCTACAATGGGACAAATTACATTCAGTATAAGCTAGTTACACACTATATAAACATTTAAGCCAAGACTATGTTATAGTTAATTGAGAAAACTGCAGTGAGGATTCTGCATGGAATAGAACGTTATTTTCCCATTGAAATAAAGATGATGGTAATAATAAATGAAATTTATTGAGCACCTCCCATGAACTACAAACCACAGTAGGTACTCTTCTTTAAATTCTCACAACCTTGCAAAGTCTCATTAGTCCCATTTTATAGATCAGAAAGGTTCAGGATTCTGACGGAAAAATTACTTGTTCAAGAAACACTGCTAATAGAGGTAAACACAAAGTTTTGTTCCCAGTCTTTCTTTGTTCTCAGTTTTTCTGGGTTCCAAAGCCTACACCTTTTTTTTTTTTTTAACCACCACATTTTGTTGCTATAAAAATTCCTAAATCCTGTGCTTCTAAAATATTCTGCCTTTTTGGAAAAATACAGGAAGGCAAGCATGAGATCTGGCTTATGTTCTTGCCTGAATGTTAGGTGAGGGTCTAGAATGCACAAATCACATCATTTATGATCATGTATTTGGCCAAGTTCAAACTGTTCCCTTGTTATGCATAATTTCATTTAGATTAAGTACTCACCATTGTGGCTTGTGTCCCCTTAGAGGCTGGAGATATTGAAAAAGTGGGATACATGGTAGCTTAGTAGAAGCTTCCCCCCACCCCCACAAAAAGATCTCAGTCATCACTGTCCAGGTACAAGTCAAAGAAATCTTATGAAATTACCTGTTAAAATTGTGAAAGGGTGAGATTGAGAAATATCTGACTATACTTTTTCTTTTGAATCACCAAGCACTATAGATAGAATGTGAATGAAGTGTTAACTCCATAGTAGTAGGCTAGAAAAGGATGGAATTTTGTATTTGGGGAATAGAGTGAAGTCCAAAAAGGATAAATTTCAACAATATGGGGAAGAGCAGATGAAGTAACTTCTCATGGAATTTCAGATGAAGGTGGCGCAGGTATATGTGAAAATATCTGTTGGCTAGTGCATTATGGAAACTACTAGAATAATTATCAATATAAAATATGTAATTATCAAATATATTGATAATTACTAAGCCCTGAATCTGTTCTAAGTTAAAAGAAAAATAATGCCTGATTATATCCAATGAACTGGGCTTGCAACTTGTGTTCCAAATTGACAGTCACATCTAATCTCATCCCATATGCCTTAAAAGAATGAGAGAGAGTGTTTGTGTGTCTATGTCTATATTCAGGTATATTCTTGAGAAGGATGAATGGGGTGTCTCTCTTTCTTTGAGGACAATAAGCCTTAGCTAGGGTATAATTATAGTTTATTTAAATGCTATTTGAGCCCTTTCTTACATTTATTTATTTAATTTAACAAGCATTACATGTCAGGTACTACTCAAACTCTTTACAAATGGTAACATATACAGTTCTTTTAACTCTAGGAGAGAGGTACTATTATTGTCATTTTACAGATGATGAAAACTGCCAAACATCATATGGCTGGCAAGTATTCATATCCTTATTCCTGTTGTCTCTCCAGGTAATGTGATACACTTTGGAGGTTTCTAACTGGAGAAGATATCCGGTACTCTTGGCCAGATCATGAAATCTCTTAATCACACACACATGGACCCTTCTATTTTCTTCCTCTTGGGTATTCCAGGTCTAGAAAAATTTCATCTGTGGCTCTCACTTCCTGTGTGCTGCCTGGGCACAGCCACAGTTGTGGGCAACATAACCATCCTGGTTGTTGTGGCCACTGAGCCAGCCCTGCACAAGCCTGTGTACCTTTTCCTGTGCATGTTGTCAACCATCGACTTGGCTGCCTCTGTCTCCACAGTTCCCAAGCTACTGGGCATTCTCTGGTGTGGAGCTGGACATATATCTGCCTCTGCTTGCCTAGCACAGATGTTCTTCATTCATGCCTTCTGCATGATGGAGTCCACTGTGCTGCTGGCCATGGCCTTTGATCGCTATGTGGCCATCTGCCATCCACTCCGCTATGCTACTATCCTCACTGACACCATTATTGCTCGCATTGGAGTGGTAGCTATGGTGCGAGGCTCCCTGCTTATGCTCCCATGTCCCTTCCTTATTGGGCGTTTGAGCTTCTGCCAGAGCCACGTGATCCTGCACACATACTGTGAGCACATGGCGGTTGTGAAGCTGGCCTGTGGAGACACCAGGCCTAATCGTGTGTACGGGCTCACAGCTGCACTGTTGGTCATCGGGGTGGATTTGTTCTGCATTAGTCTCTCCTATGTCCTCATTGTACAAGCTGTCTTTCGTCTCTCATCCCATGAAGCTCGTTCCAAGGCCCTAGGGACCTGTGGTTCCCATGTCTGTGTTATCCTCATCTCTTACACACCAGCTCTCTTTTCCTTTTTTACACATCGCTTTGGCCACCACGTTCCACTCCATATTCACATTCTTTTGGCCAATGTTTATCTGCTCTTCCCACCTGCTCTTAACCCTGTAGTATATGGGGTTAAGACCAAGGAGATTCGTGAAAGGGTTGTCAGAGTGTTTCAAAGAGGACAGGGAATTGGAATCAAGGCATCTGAGTGACCCTGGAATATAGAAGGGACTTAGTCCAAAATAAAATAAATTTCCCAAGGTTAATAAATCTTCAGTATTTTAAAAGAAGTTTTAATAGGGGATAATGTCCTCTGCACTACCAAGAATGATAAATCACAAAGGAGGGCAAGGAGACTCAGCATTCTTCCTTTCCATTCATGAAAATGTAGGCACAGGAAGATTCTGGGACCTTAAGTGGCACCCAGACATTAAAAACAACTGACTGTGACCTGGAGAAGTGCAGCTTACAAGATCCTCTGCATGGCCGGAGGATCTCTCTTCACTCCCTGCCCCTCTCCTAGTACTCCCAGCATGGATTTCTAATTTTTTACTTTCAGCTATAGCTACTATCTTACCATCCACAAGAATCAGAATATAGGACAATAAAGCCACAGTTAAAGAAATTAGAGCTGTAAGGAATTTATGTTTTTGAATAAATTCTGTATTTGCCTTTCAGAACTTCAAACCAAAAAGAGGGAAAAGATGTGTCTTATACCATAATATTAGTTAGTGGCAGAACTGGGGCTCAAAACCTAGAATCACGCAGTATAAAATAACAGGACTTTTATGGATGTAGGTATAGGAGAGGTCAGGAGAACTTCTTCATTTCTAAACTTAGACTATTTATCCCACAGATAAACTCCTGTCTTGGGAGTCAAGCTAAGTCTGAATGACCTTGGATATCACACTCTGATGAACAATTTTCAAATATTATCATACAATCAGGAGGCCTTTCCAGAAGTAATTGACTCTTATCTCCTGAAACCATACAAAATGTTACTTACCCAACACTGATCAGAATGGGAAGTCTTTGCTTTTATTTATTTATCTACTTATTTATACTGAAAAGAAGGTCAAGCTTGATTCTAGGGAAACTCGTGGTGGAAAGTTACTGTTCCCATGAAAACTGGGATTGACAACCGGCCACTTCACTACAGATACCGAGCCTTCCATTTTTCAAGAAAAATAGCTTCACAGAATTGGTCTAGTATTAATACTTTTAATTTTGATTTTATTGATAGTACACATTTTCTTCTTCTTGTTCTCTGAGTATGCCATCCTATTCTGTTAGAGGGAGGGGAAATAGCCCCCCTCATGGATATTGAACAGACTTTCTCATTTTGGAAAGTTTTAGTCCTAAGGGGAGAAAACCAAGGTGTAACTTTTGAAACCTCCCATTCTCAGAAATATTAATGTTTTGATTGTTACATTTCAGACAGGTGGGGATAAGCAGTTTACAAATAAAGGAACTTAATAAAGTATGCCAAATACCATTTTTCAAAGAAAAGACAATTATTTCCCTATTACATTGGAAGGTCATCCGTATATGAACAGGCACTGGTATTAATTTTTCATTAAAATACTCAAAGTAAGATATTCTTAACAAGTATTTAAGAGTTATATACAATTGATTTTTTGTGGTCCAAACTGGCCATCTTGGTAACATGAAAACATGCAACCTCAACTTCTGTACTGTGTCATAGGTTCCTATACTCAGAGAGCACAAGACTTCTGAAGAAAGTAGACAGATGCACATATTATACACACTACTTGCTCATGGTTCCTCATTTCAGCTGGGCTCTCAGAGCTAGATATCTGTGCTTCTTTTTGCTGCCTGGCTTGCAATAGTAGGTTTTAGTTAAGTCTGCCCCTTGCACACATCATTATCCTCAGGATTGGAACATTGCATTACTTTCCATTGCATAAAGAAAAATGAAATGATTAGAGGTAAACTATTTTAATTTTCAAGCCCTGTATATACTTTTGACATCTGTACCCATTATTTCTTCCTTTATTGCTATATTTGTTTCTATTACCAATTCATTTTTTCTGCTCAAGAAAGCATCTCAAAATATGTTCCTAGAAGTCCTGACCATCAGTCACTTCTTATATTTCTTATGTTTGAATTTACTGATACTTTCACCCAATAGCAGAATTTCCCTTGGCCTATCTTTTTATATATATTTATGGTAAATATTTTTAAAACTATCATTTCTGTGTTCTGGATTCCTGTTCCTTTCTTATGTTACATCTGGCTTCAAGTGGAAGTTGAAGCTTCCAGAGAAACTTCTGCCATCAGTCACTGGTAACCATTGTACTACATTACAGTGTACTGTATTTTGGCCATGATTTACTTCTCCAAAATCTAATCACTGTGACATATGTCTATGATCCTGCACAATCCTGGATTTTCTTTTATGTCTCTAATGTTTTTCGTATTGTTCACCTTCATTTTTCTTCATGAATTGGACTTTTAAATGTTGATGTTTCTTGAGAATCTATCTTTCTTTTTATTCCTATCAATCTCAGTCCATAGCAATCAGGGCTAGAGTAGGAAGAGCTGAAAATCCAAGTGTCAGGCAAGAGGACTTCCTGTAGGAGATCACAGCTGAGGGGGCTGCACTCTTATTTACACTAAGGAGCTTCTTATAACCTATGGAATGCTTAAACAATTTCTTCCCTCTGTCACTATCTCTTGTTTCTGTCATTTTGAACTCAACCTAATTGTAAGCAGATCTTGAATTATATTAACATTCGGCATCTGTTCCTTGCAAGATTAGGTAGTGGGTGTCTGCTCTTACTCGGGAAATACTGGGAAACTGAAACATTTTTAATTTGCATTTCTTAGCTGGTAAAAATGTAAGTGGAAAGATTTCAGTGGCCATTTTGCTACCAAGAAAAGAATTTGTCTGTGGCTTAATACAGGAGAAAATAAAGAAAAATAATTTTAAAAATATAGTTTGCCAATGTTATTTGAAAGAATGAAACCAACAGTGATGAAGATTGTTTCTATTTCTATATACTTTATTTCATAAAACACACATTTATCTTGGTGTTTAAGGGATTTTGTAGTAGATATTTGCTTCTTGAAATCAAAAGATTTAATACCATATCCTGGGAGAATAGCAATTCTTGGGACCATCACTCAATAAAGACCATGGCCTTAGCATAGAAACAGACTCTATCTCTCCTTCCTTGAGAGACAGTAGATGAGAACTGTTTTGATTCGAATATATTGATTTCCAAATGTCTTTTACAAAACTAACAACCACCTTCAGGTTCCATTTTATACATTACATAGTGGGCCTTAAACAAAAGAGAATTTATCATCAAACTACTGGATAGTAGAAAACCTCCAAAGTGGAACATAGAGGAAATTGTATAGTGAAAGAAACAGAACTGAAAGCATGTGGGACACAAACAAGGGTATTTGCATATGAAGTTCTGACAGTCGAGTTCACAAACTCATCCTAGAAAAAGTGCTTGCTACACACTTCATTGCTAAATATCACTACAGTCACCTTTGAAGTACTCCCCTTGGGAGCTAGTACCTAGTCCACCCTTCAAAGCAATTGTGGAACTCTTTTTCTGAAATGGGCATCAGAACTGTTATCATATCACACTTGATGTCATGAATGTCATCAAATTATCTTCTTTTTAATATTTCCTTTATCTTTGGGTAAAGAAGGAAGTCACTGGGGTCCAGATCAGGTGAGTTGTATAGTAATTCTAATATAGTAATTTGCTTACTGGCTAAGAACTACCTCAAACACAGTGTGGTCTGAGTTCTTTGTTTTTGTTCATTTGTGAGTTCTTTCAGGACCACTTTTGTGCACATCTTTCTCATGCCAAGATTTTCAGTTCAGATTCTTCTGTTTGCGTATTGATGTTTACTTGGTCTGCTATGCTTCTCACTGTCAACTGATGATTTTGATGCATAATTAATGGATTTTTGCAATGTTTTCATCAGCTCTACTTGTTAGTGGCCACTCTGACCTGTCTTCATCAGCGATGTTTTTTCTTTCTTCAGAAAAATGTTTAATACATTTGTACATTGACATTTTCTTTGTGGCATTATTCCTATAAACTTGGACTAACATGTCCCTAATTTCACTTCCGCTCTTGCTAGTTTTAATAAGAAATTTACAAATATTTGCTTCTTGTTCTAATTCAAGTTCATGACAACACACAGAAACACACAACAATAATGAATGCCACTTAGCAAGACAATGCTACACATCAACATGAATACAGCTGTGAGACACTGATATACCAAAGTTATGAATCCTCACCAAGTCGTTTGTACAGTGCTGCCAATGTAGTGCACGGAGGCAAGTTTTTGAACTTAATTATTAGACATTGTATATGTGGTAGGATTTCCAGGAGAGGTGACAGAAAATGAAACAAAATAATACTTTAAGAGATAATGTTAAAGAAAATTCTATAATGAATTAAATGTAATATTCAGAGGTGAAAGAAATTTAGCAAACCTTAATGAATAAAGACACACAAAATTCACATTAGACACAGTAGAGTTGAGCTAGAACCTTTATTGTTGAACCACTGAAAGCCAAAGGCAAATAGAAAAATATATATAGTACTTAGGAAATGTACCCAAAGGAATTTCAAAGATGTAAACTGAAGACCAGCAGCTGATTTATCAACACAAATTATTAAAAATATTTCATTGTTTCCTAACTTCTAAGTACTAGAAGAAAATTACTGTTAACTATGAATCTTATATCGAGAAAACAAACTTTAATTACGAAGGTAAAATAAAAACAGATGAAAACTCAGAAAATGTATGATAGAAAAAATTCCTTAGGAAAATATACAAATTGAAAATAATACCCCTTCCCTTTTAAACAATTTATATTAAAAACTTTCACATACATCTGTATAATACTTTCTCAGGGGTGACTACTCTGTCCTCCATGAAATTCTTTCTCACAGGTGACTATTTTATCCTCCATGAAATTCTTTCTCATAGGTAATGATGACTCTCCTGAATGAAACTCTTTCTCAGAGGTGACTACTCTCTCCTCCATGAAATTCTTTCTCACAGGTGACCGATCTCTTGCATGTATTTTTTTCTCACAGGTGACCACTCTCTCCTTCAGGAATTTCTTTCTACACTCACCTTTCAAGACATTTGAATAATCCTTCTTCATCTTTAGTGCTGGTTCCTGTTGATCTCCTACATCTCTCAG